CTGACTTTTTTTTTTTTAATGTTTATTTATTTTTGAGAGAGACTGAGACAGAGCTTGAATGGGGGAGGGGCAGAGAGAGAGGGAGACACAGAGTCCAAAAGAGGTTCCAGGTTCTAAGCTATCAGCACGGAGCCCGATGAGGGGCTCGAAGTCACGAACCATGAGATCATGACCTGAGCCAAAGTCAGGCGCCCAACCAACTAAGCCACCCAGGCACCCTGCAACCGACTCTTTCTTTTTTTTTAATATTTATTTATTTTTGAGAGAGAGAGAGGCAGAGTGAGAGCAGGGAGGGGCAGAGAGAGAGGGAGAGAGAATCAGAAGCAGGTTCCAGGTTCTAGGCTATCAGCACAGAGCCCAACATGGTGCTCGAACTCACAAACCGTGAGATCGTGACCCGAGCTGAAGTCCGACACCCAACCAACAAGCTACCCAGGTGCCCGGCAACCGGCACTTAGTGTCAGCTCAGGCCATGATCTCACAGTTGCTGGAATTGAGAGCCCTGTGTGGAACTCTGCACTGACAGCATGGAGCCTGCTTGGGAATCTCTCTCTGCCTCTCTCTCTGCCTGTCTCTCTCTCTCTCTCAAAATAAATAAATAAACTTGGGGCGGGGGAGGGGGCGGGAAATGGGATGCTGGAGGGAGACAGGGCTGCCAACAGAAAGATGGAGGAAGCAGGGAGGCAAGAGGCAGGTCTGAGGCCTAACCCTGTCCTCTCCAACCCCCTCTCCCAGGTGAACCTGACTGCCTCTTTGGGCACCTGGGACGTGGCCGGGGAAGTGACGGGAGTGACTCTCACTGGAGAGGGGCAGCCTGATCTCACCCTCGCCAGCCCAGGGCTGGACCAACTCAACCGGCAGCTACAACTGGTTACTTATAGCAGCCGAAGTTACCAGGCAAACACAGCAGACACAGGTGTGAGGTCTGGGCGGAGGCAGGGGCAAGCTGGGTCAACAGAGAGCCCAGAAAGGCTGAATCGGGCAAATGGCAGAGGGTGTGGGAGACACTCGGGCAGTGGCCAGAGCTGCCCAGTCACACAATGGGCATTTCAGCTAGGCCAGCAGGGCCAGAGAGGGAGAGAAGGGGCCTTTGTTCATCTGGGGCCAGAGCAGGCCAAAGGGAAACCCGAGCCTCGGGTGTGTCCCCTTTTCAGGCCAACCATGGGGGCCCCAGGAAGTGATTTGCCCCAGGAGCCAGAAGGCTCAAGCTCTATTCCCAAACCACCACTTACTGGAGGGCAAGGGACTTCATGTCCAAGAGCTCCCGTGTCTCCTCCAGCAAAAGAGGCACAACACAGCCCACCTCCTTCTCTCCAAGACTTGCTACACCAAATCTGCTCCCTCTTTGGGGCCTTTGCATTTGCTGTTCCCTCTGCCTAGAATGCTCTTCCCCCAGATTTTTGCATGGCTGGCTCCTTCTTGTCACTTGGATCTCAGCTCAAATGTCTCCTCTTCACTATCACATTACTTGCTTTATTTTCCATTCAATGCTTGCCAGTATCCGAATTTTATTTACTTAGCCTAGAACCAGAATGACTAGGTTCCTATCTCAGCTTTGTTGCTTAAGAGTTGTGTAAATGTAGACCAGTTGCTTAATTTCTCTATGCCTTTTTCTGTAGCAGGAATCTATCTTATGGGGCTTGTCAAGGTTAAGTGGGTTCATATATTTAAGGTAAACTTAAAAAGTACCTGCACATAGTAAATGCTCAATAAAGGTTAGCTTTTAATTAAATCATTTTTAAAAAATTAAATCTTTAATTTTCTTTCTCCCACCCATTAGAGTGTTAGTGCCATGGAGGTAAACACCTTGCATTCTTGTCCACCAGGGCTCAGGAAAGTGGTACACAGAGTAGGCACTTAAATAGTGATTTGCTGAAAAGGGAATGTTGTCCCAACTTTAAGGACCACGTCTGGTGTCCTTTCTTCCCAGTCCGGTTCTCCACGGAGGGACACGAGGCCGCCTTTACCATCCGCATAAGACACCCACCCAACCCTCGGCTGTACCCACCTGGGTCTCTACCCCAGGGAGGTGAGGCTGGTGCGTTCAAGGACCTAAATCCAGGCCTGGTGGGGAGAAGCTGGGAGAGGGAGGATGTGGGAGATGTTTTCCAGCTCCTCACTTCCACTCTCCTTCTCTGCACCTAACCCTGTCCCTCACTCCCAGCCCAGTACAATATCAGCGCCCTGGTCACCATCGCCACTAAGACCTTCCTTCGTTACAATCGGCTTCGGGCGCTCATCGCCAGCATCCGCCGCTTCTACCCAACGGTCACCGTGGTCATCGCCGACGACAGCGACAAGCCAGAGAGCATTAGTGGCCCCCACATCGAGCACTATCTCATGCCTTTTGGCAAGGTGCGCAGTCAGCAAGGCTGAACCGCGCGCCAGAGGGCGCCGAGAGACAGAGGCGCGCGGTGGGTCTGAAGTCACCGGAGTAGTGATTCCAGGACTACCTGCCTCAGAATTACTGGTGCCTGTGAATCACGGCGATTCCTGGAACATAATAAGCTCCGTGGGAGGAGGAATCGCGCCTTATTCGCGCTGCATCCTTAGAATGTGCTTAGCACCTAGGGAGCGCTCAATAAATGGATGATGGATGAATGAATGAATGAATGAATGCACGCATAAATTAAATGCGTTCTAACACCCTCCCTCAAAACACGGACTTATTACCCCTGGCAGTTGGGAAACTGCATTTCTTGCCTAGCTCTGAGCCACTGGTAGGTCCCGGAAAGTTTAGAGATGCGTCGGGAGAGAGGAGGAAAGGTGGCAGAGGGGTTGTGTCCTATCTCTATAGCCTCACTAACTGTATGTACCCTGCCCCCAGGGCTGGTTCGCAGGCCGGAACCTGGCCGTATCCCAAGTAACCACCAAGTACGTCTTGTGGGTGGACGACGACTTTGTCTTCACGGCGAGGACGCGGCTGGAGAGGCTTGTGGACGTGCTGGAGCGGACGTCTCTGGACCTGGTAAGGGAGAGCCCGCGGAACGTGGGGTGGGAGAAGGAGGGACTCCAGCAAGCTAAAGCAGCGGCGGGGAGACCCGGCCGAGAGCCGCCGGCCCTGGGACGGACAGAGGACGACGAAGGGAGCCTGGGGGACAATCTGGGTCCTGCGGGGATGGAGCGGGAGAGGACGCGGGGCAGCGCGGATCTAACTGCCGGCAGTCCCCGTCCCGCCTGGAGCCAACCTCCCACTCCCCGCAGGTCGGGGGCGCGGTGCGTGAGATCTCCGGCTTCGCCACCACCTACCGGCAGCTGCTGAGCGTGGAGCCTGGCGCGCCAGGCCGCGGGAACTGCCTCCGGCAAAGGCGCGGCTTCCACCACGAGCTCGTCGGCTTTCCGGGCTGCGTGGTCACCGACGGCGTGGTCAACTTCTTCCTGGCGCGCACCGACAAGGTGCGCGAGGTCGGCTTCGATCCGCGGCTCAGCCGCGTGGCGCATCTGGGTGAGTGGCGTCCCCTCCCGACCCGGGGCAGAGACCCCCGCGGGGCTCTGGGCGAGGCTCCAAAGGCAGCGGGCACTCCTACGTCCACCCCAGTGGAGCCCACAGCTGGCACCCGGGGCCCCTGGAGAGTTCTGCGAAAATTTACCAAGCCTTGCGCCCTGGGCAAGAGACAGGGCTCCCTCCCTCCTGGCCCGCACACCCTTTAAACCTCCAAGCCCAGTACAGCTACTGGGTCGGCCGGCCTTTAACTTCCCCCACCGCTGTCAGACCTTGAGTCCAGTCCCAGCCGCTTCCCCTGGTTCAGACCACACTCCTGGAGCGGCCTGTTCAGCATTTATTGAGCATTTATTTAGGTGTGTGTTGGGGAGGATGGGGGTATGCTCTCAAAACACAAAGTAAGGATGTTGACTTCATTTTACATAAGAGTAAAACTAGGACCCAAATGAATTGACTAGCCCAAGGCCCTCACAAAAGGAGTCTTTACAGGTGCAGCCTGTGTACCCCAACTCTCAGTTCTCCCTTTAAGGCTCGGCCCTCTGCGCCCTTCAGACGCTTCACTGTGTACTCCCCTTCCCTCCACTGCCAGAATTCTTCCTGGACGGGCTTGGTTCCCTGCGGGTGGGCTCCTGCTCAGACGTCGTTGTGGATCATGCATCTAAGTTGAAACTGCCTTGGACCTCAAGGGATGTGGGGGCAGAGACTTATGCCCGGTACCGCTACCCAGGATCGCTGGATGAAAGTCAGGTGGCCAAACACCGCCTACTCTTCTTCAAACACCGGCTGCAGTGCATGACCGCAGAATGATGGCCACTCGGGCCTTCCAACTCTCAGGCTGGGCCTGCCTCCTTGTCCCTGCCAGGAATTTCTAGCAAACCCCACCCACCACCCAGTGACTACTCCACTGACTGTCCCTGATCCCCTTCAGAATCCGATCCCAAATAGGGGCTTGTCCTGGTGACGCTCCTCCTTTCTGCGAGTGCCCAGCGATGCGATGGAGCCATAACTCGACCCACGGCCAGTGCCAAGTCCTCCCCCCAACCCTCTTCTCATGGGGCAGGAAGTGGGGGGGGGTCACTTTCCAAGTGCCAAAAAGCCCATGGGGACTCTAAGAACCTAAAATGGAAATACTCTCATCTCCTTGGGACTGAGGGGATGGGGAAGCCCCCCAACGTGTATTCCCAGGGCTGTGCCCCCTCCCCCATCTCTGGATCCAGGACTCTGTGCACCGGTTCCAGCCCCACCCCTGTGGAGAGAACCAGTGACTCCGGAGCTGGGGTGGGGGCCGGTGAACACACAAGTGAAAGCCATTTTTAGTTGTGTCTCTGCAATGCCGCGGGCATGGAGAAAGGGGCACCGAGGGCCGGCGTGTGGACACCCAGACTCACTTCATGAACCCCAGTGGCTCTCAGCTTTGTTTTATTAGTTACATGAAGTGAGGAGACTCCTCGCGCACATATTGTCGGGGCCCTCCACACTCCAAATGACCGGGTCAGACCTACACTGTGCATGTCTTTGGACCTGTAGGCTCCTGGAAAGGAGAGGGGACCTGTCAGGAGTAGATTAGGTACCCTCCTCCCTCTCTCGGCATTTGGCAGTCTTCTGGGGGGCACACCACCCCACTTTGAAACCCTAGCTTCTCAGTTCTTCATGCGGAGCTGGACCCAGTCTCCCTGGCTTAGCCTGAAATTGGCTAATCATTTCATCCCCCCACTTTCTTCCTCCAGCTTCCTTCTAGGCCCCCTTCCCCAAACCCTCTGCCTAGATCTTCAGCCACTGACTCACATGTCACTTGCTCCACCCCAGCGCCTCCTGGATCTCCCGTTCCTACTGCCCCCTCACCAGTCTCTCCAGGGCATGAGCAGCTGCGTCCTGGACACTCACAAACAGCTGCTCTGGGGTCACTCTGTCCAAGAGTCCTGCCTGGGTCAGTGTCCCCAGCACTGAGGCTGTGTAGAGAGGCAGGTCAGGCTCTTAGATCTTAAATCCACACTGCGTCCTTTTCCCTCCCTCAAGCATCCAGCTATTCCCACCCCCCCACTCCCGTCCCCAGGTCTTCCACACCTCTCACCATTACACTGAGCCAGGAGAAGGTGGATCCCAGCATCTCGGCATCGCCTGGCTAGCTGCAGAAGCGGGGCAAGGGGGTTAAATCCCACATCAGAGGGTAGGCATGGGATAAAGGGACTTTCTCCTCAACCTACCCCGTCCCTCACCTGTACCACCTCTCTGGCTCCAGCAGCATCTGCAAAGGTGATACCACTGCAGTCTAGGACCACCACTCTGACAGGCTCAGCAACTAGGATGGAAGAAGGCAAGCGTACCCAGATGCCTCCACGGGTCATACCCAAATCTCCCTCCTTGTCACCCCATCTCACCTGCATCAGGTGGGCCATCAAGCTTGGGAGTCTCCTGTGGGTAGAGAAGGGCAGTCACCACAAGACACAAGCATGAGTGTGCGCCCCTTAAGCACAATGATCCCCTTGAGAAGCCGCACCTGCCTCCCACTCCCAGAGAAGCCACACACCCCTTTGACCAAGCCTCTCACCTTGCGTCCTTCTCCAAGCCCCAGGTGCCACTCCAGGATGCGGCGGAACTGCCCGCGGGTCCCAAAGTAGAGTGGTGTTGGGTATCTCAGGATGCAGAGCCCCGGGACCTTGAGGAGCTAAGATGTCAGAGGGTCAGAAAAACATCTGGGCCTAATCTTCCCTTCCCTCTCTGTCTGTGGCTCACCCACCTTGTGGCTCTCTTCGAGTGGCCTGTAGAGCTCCGTCCCCTCAGCAAGTCCAAGTGCCAGGCACTGCACCCTGGGCAGGAAGCTGGGGTCAGATTCCCAGCTTGGCCTGGCTGGAGAGTCACCCCAAGCACCTGTCCTCTCCCCACCCCTCTTCCCAACTCCTCTCATCTCTACTCCCACCTCTGGGTGCGGCAGACCACAGTCATCATGGAGAAGACCACGCCCACGGCCAGGCCCAAGTCCACACTCAGGATCACTACGGCCACCCACGTGACCATCCATACAGCCTGCAGGACATGGATGGGAGTGATATGCCCCGGAGAAATGCCAGGCCATGGCTGCTAGGGAAGGAGGTCCAGGGGCAGTGACTGCCTGGACAAATGAGAGGGAGGGATAGCCCAGGAGAAGGTAGAAAGAATGACAGAAGGGACAGAATTGACCCAACAAGGGAAATACACCAAATGTAATCACCCCAGACCTTGCACCAGCTGGGGATTTACAAATATTCGGGTCTGAAGGGGTTCAAACCCCACTCTCCACCATGTCTCTGAGTAATGGGATTAGGAGGTATGCATGTTGGGGGGGATTGGAGGGGGGGGGAGCTGCAGCATTTAGGACCAGAACAATTAGCTCCAATCCAGGGCAGAGCCTGGGGATGCTGGGAAGTAGGAGGGGGCAATCTGGGGGTAATGCTGCCACTCTCACAAAGTCCATGCGGCTGATGCGCCATAGTTGTGGAAGTTCCTGCATCTGGAAGAACATCTGGCGCATGCTGGAGATGTTGATGCAAGCCAGGACAGCCTTGGGGGCAGAAGAGGCAAGCTAACTGCCCCAATGTCCTAGAATGTAGCCACCACCCCCCCAGTCACCCCCATGCCTCCGCTGTTCCTCACCTTGGGCAGATAGTAGAAGAAGGGCCCCAGCCACAGCAGCACTGACAGGACAACTATGCAGGAGAAGAGACCTGCCAGCTAGAAAGAAGGAGGGATGGATGCAGAGAAGGAAGGGAACCTCACTCACCCCTGTGTGAGAGCTGGTCTGCCTGCCCCACTCTGCCTCGGCTTCCTTGGAAGTCTCCCTCCTCCCAAATCCCCTTTCCATGAAGCCGTCCCTCAGTCTTCAACTCCCTTCTTGGTATTCTGCCTCTCACATCCACCTTTCCCCTCTCCCAATTAAATGCCTGTCATTCACCGGTCTCTACCTAGACGTAGTTCAACTTCCCTATTTTTGTAGCCCGTGTTCACCTTAAAAGCCACTGTTGCATTACACTAAAAGGAGGGAACCACCTTCTTGGGGCACCAGCAAAGTAGGAAAGCAGAAATATTAGGGGGAGACTGTCATATGTGATATTTCTTTTTAAAAGAAAATGTCCTCATGGGGCAGGGGTCAGAATTTCGTCTTTCAAATTTATATGACAGTTTAGTATTGTTTTTATTGTGAACTACATATGGGCACTGTAAACTTCTTCAGTGCTTAGAGTCTGCCAAGGTCTTAATGGAGCCTTGTTACCTTCTATATCTCCTACCTAGAAACCACCCCCCCCCATTCACTCTCCCTCACCATTCTCCTCTGTACAGCTGCCCCGCAGGTATGTATCTACCAGTCTTCCCCCCCTGACTCTCACCACCATACCTATCACCCCACCTTCTCACCCCAGGCATCTTCGCCTGTGTGTTCCCACCAGCATCCACTAGTAGGCTGGTGGTAGCCAAAGTGGCAGAGTTGGGAAAGCAGGAGAAGAGGGAGGAGATGAGGTTGGAGATACCATTCCTTAAGAGCTCCTGAGGAGATGCAGATGAAGAGGAGAAGACAAAAGGCATGGAGAGCGGGGGGGGGGGGGTGAGGGAAGACATCAGATTAGAGAGTTGTCTCCTGAATGCAATTGGGGTCTTCAGTCAAAGTCACACCTGGTTGGAGTCAATAGGTAGCCTATCTTGTCCTGCTATAGATGGAGGGCCTAGGGGAGGCTGGACAGCAAAAGTGATAACCAGTGCGACTAGGAGTGAGTCCTCTAGAACCTGCAGCCAGACAACAGGTCGGGAAAGATGGGTTGGGAAACTGGAAGAGAGATCCATGGTGAGAAGTGGAGTTGTGCATAAAGAAAAGTATGAGGAAAAAGAGAAAATAGGCGAGGACAGACCAAGACATGAGGTGTAAGGCGTGGGAGCAGTCCAATAACAGGCCATTAATCTTGATTCTCCACTCAGCACATCCTGAATCTGAGACGTATCTTGTGTCCAGGGAAGAGGTGAAGCACAGCACAGAGGCCAGAAGCACCTGGGAAAGAGCAAATTAGAGGCATGGCAGAAGATGAGCTTCCTGGAAGAGGCCGGGGTGGGGGGGCGGGAAGCTTCACATGAGAGAGGATTAAAAGGCAGCATTAGGTGTTTGCAGGGGCCCAGCAACTGGGGGAGTTGGGATATGTTTGGGATGACAGCCAATTGAGAGTGAAGGAGAGTGGGAATGGGACAGGAATGAGGTATACCTGAGGCTGCGGTAAGAGATGGACCGGAGGAAGTAAGAGGCGCTCCGCTCCCATGAGGGATGGTAGATATCAGGAAGTACACCCAGCCATTCTAAGTAGGACAGCTGGGATAGATCTAGGGATCTCCCGCGTATGGGTGGAGATGTGGAACACTTATTTAGTCGGCGGAGGGGGAGAGAGAGAGAGAAATGCAGGTGGGCGTGGGAAGGGAGAGTAACTGAATTACAGTGAAGGACCGGGTAGGGGGAGAGCAGTGGAGGTGCTGTGGCGAGCGACACCTCAAGGCAACGCTGTAAGCAGGAAGAAAGCATTCTAAGAGGTCTAGAAGAGGCTCTGCCAGAGAAGTGGGACCGTGTGGGTGGGGGATTCTGCAGGGTCACAGTGTTCTGGGAAGAGGCCTGGAAAAGTACGCGTGTGCACAGGACCTCTTTCTGTAAGCTCGCTGCCTTCCACGAGGGGGCGGCAGCGGCCAGCTCCTACCCGACCGGCAAGGTCTGTGTGGTTCAGGGGACCGCGCGACTCGGGAGCCATCCTCACCATAACGATTTCCCCCGGGATCGGGGTGGGTAGCTTGTCTCGGAATCTCACGTTCAATTCTTTGACCGGCACGAGCAGCGCCAGGCTGAGTGCCGAGATGGTCAGTTCGGCCGGACTGCTCCGGGGCAGCGCGGTCAGCACAGCGGCCAGCGTCTGCGGGCAGGGGCGGTGATCGAGGGCCCGGGGCCGGGGTCGACTGCCCTCAGAGTGGACCCACCCGGCCAAGGCAAGGCCTCCCGGCTCCCATCAGGGCTTCCGTCTCCGCAGCGCCCCTCATTCAGCCACGTGGTTCTAATCTCCTTTCCTCCGCCCCCGTCACCCTCTATCCCTCCACTCGCCGTCCTTCCTTTCCCGGTTTCCCTCTTCCCAGGACCGCTAGAAGCCGCTTCTCGGCCGTTCTCCACCCCCACCTTGAAGAGAGAGAAGCAGCCAATCTGGCGCGGGAGGGGCAACCCCAAAAGGCTCGGCAGCTGGGACACGAGCACGTGCAGCGCGGCCCCGCTGGTCAGCGCTTTGACCACCGGCTCCGACAAAAAGGTGGACAGGACGCCGAGCTGCAGCGCGAACATGCCCAGCTGCAGGGGAGAAGATGCGCAATCACTACAGGAGGAGGAGTGGACTCGCCAGAGCGCAGTGCGCCAGTTGCTCCGCGCACCTCTCCCGCCTAGACCCGCGCATGACACTTGTCCCTCCCTCTCTCCTGGCCCAGTTCCCCCGGCCCCAGTGTGGATCCCACAGGGTCCTCCCTCACCATCAGCGCCCCGCTACCGAAGGCCAAGGCTGCAGCCGACCCAACCCGCTGAGCGTCCAACTGTTCCCTTTCGATTCCGCTCAGGTTCCCCCCGAGGGGTTCGGGCACCAGCCGTTCCACCGCCGAGCCTGTCATGAGGCTGAGTACCGCGAAAGTTCCTAGGGCCGGGGGACAAACGCAGAGATCACCAGCTGTGTCGCCTGGGGCGCGGCGATCGTCCGGGTTTCGCGCCCTCGGGCCTGGATGCTGCAGTCAGACCCCGCTCTTCTGGAAGGCTGCTGCTCCGATGAAGACGGTGGGGCCGAGAGCCCGTGCAGCAGCCTGGAACCGGCGGTGAGGGAGGAAAGAAGGGCGCACCGGCGGGCAAAAACTGCCCTCTAACTGCATCACTGCCCGCTCCCGCAGACCGCCCGCGGACTGCGCGCTCCTTTGGGTGACCGCGCATCTCTTCTTCCCTCTTCCAAGTCCCGGAGATGTTCATTTAAACCAAATGTCATGGGGGAAGAAAAGTTCTGAGGAAACTCCCTTCTCTCTGCACCCACTCGGCACCCGCAGCAAGCTTTGCCTAGGTCCGAGGTTCCTGGCAGGGTAGCGACAGAGGCGGAAGGGAAGAAGGGGAGGGGAAGAGGGGAATAAGAGCTAAGGAGCTTCCAAGGGCCGAAGTCTCAAACCCCCATCCATTCTCACCCTACAGAGAAGGAGAGGAGTCACTGGGTTACTCACCTGTGGACAGGTGTCTACCAGTCCCCAACAAGGTGTAAATGAGGACAGGGAAGAAAGAAGTGTAGAGTCCGAACACTGGAGGCACTGAGGTCAGGAGGGCAAAAGCCATGCCTGAATGAGAAATGAAAGGGATGATCTTCAGGGTCTGTGTGTGGGGTTGGGGAAAGGTGACTAGCGCCCACACTCTTAGAGGCTGACATGGGGACGCTGAATCATGCCACATGAGGGAACCTAGGGGTTAACAGGCCTCGGTGGGAGGTGGGAGGTTGTGGGGCGGACAAGGTCACAGATCCGTGTCGGCCCAGTCCTCCGGGGAGTAGGGGGCAGGGGTTGTTCCTCTCTCCAGTTCCCTGACCCGGAACGTGTCCAAGACTTCTAGAAGGATTGCGCAAATGAAGGGGGCTGGGGGTGGGGATATGATGCAGCTCCGTGGTCCTTACCCAGAACGTGATCTGAGGTCTTGTCTCCGAACCCTCGGCCACCCTAACTCCAGCCTCGTCCCTATGCCCAGCTCCCAGCATCCCCCCCTCCCCGAGCTTGGGCCGCTGACAGTCTAGCGTTAGGGCCGCTCACCCTGGGGCACGTGCACGATGCCCACGGTCACCCCGGCCACGGCATCCCCGAGTAGCCAGGCCCGCCAGCGGTAGTGGGGCAGCCAACGCAGCGGGGGCAGCCGCGCCCGCAGCAGGCGCCACGCCCCCGGCCCGGAGCAAGCGCTGGCCAACCGCCTCCACCGTCTGCACAGTCGGGACGAGCGAGGGGTTCGGCGCGAGTAGCCTGGTGCTCGTTTGTGCCCCCGAAGAGCCGCTGGAACCGAGCCTCGGTGAGAGGTTCCCTGAACTTGGCGCCCAGAGGGAACTTAAGGTCGGAGGCCTCTCCCAGGCCTGGGCTGGTCCCGGCGCCCGGTAGCCCACTCATTTTGCCCCTAGCCACCTCCAACCCCGCCTAGTCTTAAATAGCCCTCCACCTGCTGGGAAGCCCTGAGCCCCCGCCTCCATGAAGCAGGGTCCAACGCCTCGCCTCCCCGGAGGGCGCTCCCCTTGGGGACCTTCAACGGCCGGGAGAGAGCAAAGGCTTCGGGAGCGGGGCGTCTCTGTGTTAGAAGTGCTTCCCCTCAGACGTCCTTGGCGGGGTCGCGGGCTCCGGAGGCTGCCAGGGCGGGGCGGAGGAGGGGGTGTGGAAAGGTGTAGGGACCAGAGACAGAAGCCAAAAGACAGCGAGCCTCAACACCCAACACCCACTTTACCACTCACAAGCCTTTGATTCCCACCTGCTCACTCCCGGCTCCTTCCTTCATCCGCCTTTAGGAGGGAGCAGTTACTGGGGCCGCCGCATTCCCAGAGCCTCTGCATCCTCCTGAGAGAGGTGTGCAAGATGCCGCCCCTCCCCCCCCCCCCCCCCCCCCTGTCACAGACAGTCACACATACCCTCACCCCCAGACCTCCAAATCCTCACGGGCACAGATTGCCCCCAAGAAAGTGTGTAGCAGTGCCCTGTGGGCAGAGAAGTGCCACTAACTGCTGAGCTGGGCCGCAAGCACATGTACAGCCCATGTAGTCCCCTCGTGGAAAAACCATATTTTGTGGTTAAATTAAGTTCAAAAGGGACATGCACCCACCTCATGTACCCTGTTACTAAGAGACAAGTTGTGAGGTTCTGAGCCCAGAATCCTATTTTCCCATCCCCTCCCTCCATACAAGAATGCTTGGCACCCCTCCCTATCACCTCTTTCTGTCTCTCAAAGTAGTCCCGAATTCCCAAAGCCTCCCCTGGGGTGGGGTACAGGGAGGGTAAGTTCTCCCCTCTTCAATTTCCTCTCCCTATTGTTCCCCAGAAGTTTCTGGCCTGGGCTTGTAGCCGCCCCACTTCTTAGAGGCCTCTGGTTGTCGGGCCGGGGCACCCGCCCACAGGAGGCCTGCTCCTCCTCACTCTCCCACCCCCAGCAGCCTATTGTCTGCTGAGGAAGCTCAAGGCACACGCAGGGACCAAGCCCAGGGGATGGATAGGTGGATTACACACTGATGCCCACGGGGACCCAGGAGGATAGGGCATCTGGACATGATCTCGCTGCAGGTGTCATTTTCTTCTGGTGGGCTGTCCCATGGGTAGGGAAGGGTGAGGCCCCGGGGCTGTGCATCTTGGGTTCAGGCTGCTGGAAGAAGAATCCTTTCCTGCTCAATGGTATGGATATGCCTCAGCATCCCAAGAGACTGAAAAAGAAGGAGATCCAAAGCTGCCGAAAAGGGCCACAGCCCCTGTAGCCTCTCCACACCTTCCATTCCTCCCCAGAACCTGGAGGCCTGGTGAAGGAAAAAAGGTACCTCCGGGCATGCCTAGGCAGTGCTTTAGAATCTGGGTGTTGGGGGGTAGGGAATGGTGGAAGTCGACCCCTGCCACCTGACTCCTAAGAGCTCTAGATGGAGAGTTGGGGAGAAAGGCTGGGGAAAGGGCAGGACATGGATCTAGGAACTAGTTTCTCCAGTGGTCCCAAGTTCCAGGTCTAGACCAGAGAGATGCAGCTGTCGGTCAGGTACAAAAGACAGTGACATCTTTTCTCCCCTGCCACCCTGTGTCCTCCTCCACCAGATTTGTCCACACGCCAGCTGGTTTCTCCATTTCACTTTCACCTACCAACCTCCCTATACCTCTCCTCTTCCTCTCATGTCAGACAGCCTTAGTGATGTCATTACAAAACCTTATTGTGAAAACCGAAAGAAACAAAATCAAAATCAAAACTAATCATTTTTTACCTGGGTCTTTGCCCTGGTGCCTCCTCCCACCCACCCAATAATACATCCTCCTTTTTGGGCACCTAGATGCATGCAGAAGGGTGGGAGCTGAAGAACCACATTCCTGGGGAACAAAGAAGTCCAGGCCCAGGTATCCTCATCCAGTCAACACCACCCCCCCCAGCCTTGCCCCCCCTCCAGACACACACACATCAAGGAATTTCCCGAGGTGGTGCCAGAAGGTTTGCCCTGAAGTTTCTCGGAAAGGTGGTCGCCAGCATCTGACCTCCCAGGCCTTCACCAGTTACAGCTCATCTTCATCCAGCTTGCAAGTCTGGCTTGGCAGGGGTATTTGGACAGAGCTGAGTGAGTCACGAGGAGCTTGGGGGAAGTCACTGAGGGGCCTGAGGAAAGACTCAAGTCAGAGGAGGTTCCCGGAATCCACCACCCTGTCTTTTTCAGTGCATGCTCAGCCAAGCCACCTCCCCTTAAGCAGGATCTTAGATGATCCCAGGACCATCGGGGCCTCTCCCAGGGTGTTGAACTGGAGGAGGACAGGTAGGAGAGTAGGGTAGGAAGGGGCAGAAAAGGTGGTGGTTAGCTGGAAAACATGGGGAAGGGAATTTAGGATCCCAGAACAAGAGGAGCCCTCCCCATTCTACAGCAGGGCTGGCCTCCCATCTCATACCTGTGTGTCCATAGGGCAGGGGGGTTCTGCACCTCCCTCCCCTTGGGCAACAGCAGCAGGAGGGAGAGAGCTGCTGATGGGTGCTTGTGGGGTGCTGACCTGGGTCTCAAACCCACTTTTGCCCTCCTCCCCATGAACTGTCAGCCAGTATAAAATTGCTGGGGGAGATGAAGAGGAAGCTGGGGTCAGAGGGCAGGATTGGAGACTGGGCAGAGGATTCAGCAGGTCAAAGGTCAAGGAACACGGGGAGGGAGGCGAGAGTCACCATTGGAGAAAGTTCCTCCGCTGGCTTTCCAGGATCTGAGCCACTTGATCCATTCGACTGACCCAGGATCTGCAGTCTGTAGGACATAGCTGGATCCCACCCTGGCCCCTCTCTGGAGGTCAGTGCAAAGCTGCAGGTCACCTTGAGTTCCCCCAGTCCCAGGCAGCTCACCTGATTGGCAAATAGGAGACAGCCCCCCAAATTCTTAGGCCCTCCCGTTCCCTGTGCCCCTTCCAACAAATCCAAGAACCAGACATTTCTCTCAGAGGTCTCACCCTATCCCAGGCAGACCCCCTTGTGGCCTCCTCCCAATTGATGCTGCTTTTTGGTGCCACATAGCCTGGCAGGCCCACTGTGACTACTATTCTCCCCCTCCCAGGGCCAGCCAGCCCCTCGCTGAAGATGATGATTTGCTCAAAGAGGAAGACAATGCCCCTCTCGCACCCCCCGGGAGGAGGGAGCAGACCCCCCAGCCCCAGCCTGTGACCAGAATGTGTCCTGCCCAAGAGCTCTGAGCAGTCAGTTTGCCCTAGGAACCAAAGGACAGGTGCAGGAGGGCAGGAGAAGAGAAAAGGGGCACCCCTCTGTCTTCCCTCCTTCCCCAGACGCCCCAACCAACCATGGGGTCAGTCCTAGGGGAGGACAATTTCATTAAGGGACATCCTGGGTGCTCAGACTGGGGCAGAAGAAGGCTTGGGCCTCCAGTTTCCTGTTCTATCCCCACCTCAAACCCCCGAAGTCTCCCCCATTCAATAAAGTGTCATTGCAGCTAAGTACAGTGCTGACATGACTCCTCCTTGCTGGCTGCTGGCCTTCCAGGTGAAGAGAAAGCATTGCTGGGCTGTCGGGCGAAGTTGAGACCTCTTTCAGACACCATGTGTTTCACCTCTCACACCCAGCCTCCCCGTAGTGAGCCTGTGCAGCTCAAACCACTCCAAGGAGCTGGGAGAACCCAGAAGACTAAAAACAGTAAGATCCCGGAAGGATAAAAAAGTGTCCAGGAAGATCTGGGAGTCCTCACCTCCAGCTCTTCAGCATCCATCCCAGCTCTACTGTAATATTTGAGAAAATCTCAAGATGTAGAAAGAAACGAAATAGGAGGGCTTTATGGGTCACCTCAGAGTCCACATCTCCCCTTGAAGGCACAGGTGTGAGACTATGGAAGCATGGGGGCTTTTTAGAACTTGAAGATGAATGAGAAAAGCGGCTGTCCCCAAATCCCAGAGGTACCCCCAGGAACAGGGGGTGGTCCTGACCTTGAGCAACAGCTGGCATTTCATGATCCTCTGCTTGATGAGGAGGTCATTGAGCTGCAGGCGTGTGCCCCACAAGCCGTCGTAGGGAGCTCCTGGGGAGACAGGGACTGGGTGGTTAGAAAGCCTGATGATTCTGTTCCCTTCCCCAAGGTGCCTCACACTGACCTCAAAGTAGCTGTCCCCAAAACTCTGACACCATCGCGGCTCGGATTTGGCTGGTTCTGGCAGTACACCAATGCACATATGCAGCCTGGGCGCTTCCTAACAGGTCAAGTTTAAGAGAGTCTGGCTGGGTGCGCGTGTGGGAGAGAAAGCCCCTCTCTGATTCAGACCCACTCCCAAGCCCCTCCCCCAGGGCCCCACCCTTAAGCTCACGGTTTGATGAATAGCCAGGAGCCAGCCAATCAGGATCCTCAAACACTGCTGCAGCTCCTGCAGGAAATAGCTGGAAGGTAGGAAAAGTGTTGGAGTCAAATACCCCACCCCACTCAACTTAGAGCTGCTCCACCAGCTGTGCCATTGCCACCCAAACGTGCCTCTCAGGCAGCAGTGGGCCCACAGACAGAGACTACCAAACATCTTATGCCCCCTCACCCTCACTCTCAGAATCCATCACTCACTCTCGATGCCACTCATAGATTGCTGCTCCCAAACACAATCCTCTGTCACGCAGTTCAAGACTCTCTGGGACCCCCTGAGCTGCCATGGTGGCCAAGGCAACTGTAGGAAGGCTGGGGTGAGAGCGTGAGCCGCCAGGGGCCAGCCCTGAGTAGGAAAAACCCCTCCCCCCCAGTCTCCAGGGGGTGCTGGGAAGGTGGGACAGGAGTATCAAGGCATCCCCTAAAATTAGCCTGGGCACAGAGGGAAAGGGGTTGGGCTGAGCTGAGAAGAGAAAAGGACCCACCTCCAATCTGCCCCAAGTCGTCCACATACATTTTCTCTGTCTCTACCAGTTCACTCAAGACATACCTGGGAAGAGAGCAGGAGTAATATGAAGGAAATAATTCCTCCTCCCAGCACTACTGGACTATTCTTCATTACCACAACCAACCCCAGAGGAAATTCCATCAAATCTAAAATGAGGGACAGTTCTCTGGAAGTTGCACGTCAACTGGGGGGAAGGGGGGAGGGAGCAAAGGGAGGGAGAGTGTGGGGACACTTACATACTCCCTTTCCAGAGCCTTCTTCTTCTGTTCCTCCTCACTCCTCAGGGAATGGGATAGGGTCTCCTCCCTCAGGTGGCTGGAAGGAAAGAACATCCAGGAGTGCAAAGGATGCCTTTGGGGGAGCTGTGCAGGATCCATTTTCATACCTGTGTCTTATCATTCTCCAGGCCTCCAACAATGTGGCTGTCAGGCAGGGTCAGTTTGCAGCTCTCTCCAGGTATACAGAGACCCCAGCATCCAGTTCTGGGAACCAGAGGAGGTCATGCTGTAGAGGTCATGGACAGTAGCTGGGCAATTCTCTCCCCCAATGACCAGTGGCCCAACCTGCCCCCTCTCCAGTGTCCTCTATGGCCGTCAAGGCCATGCTTCCTGTGGTGCTCCCTACCACCTCACCATGGTCCAGCCTGGCCACCGCCTGCCTCAGTTTCCACACTGGAGACACACACTTGAATGACCCAAATCCATCTTCTCAGGCTACTGACTGGCTCCTGGGGGGCCCGGGGAAATAGGGGCCAGAGCTGAGGCCAGAGCTGGGGCCAGAGAGGCAGCCAGACCCTAAGCAGGAAGCTGAGGATACTCCCTCACTGCCAGCAATGAATAGGATTCTAATGGGGGAGTGGGGGGGGAGACAGGCCATAGGATATTACTCAGCTCCAGATGCAGGGCCCAGGGGAGCTCCCCAGAGGCTCCTTCATGATGCTGGTTGAGCCCCTCCCAGGGCTCACTCTCTTGCCACATCCTCATTTGAGCTGGCAGGGATAGAAAATTTCACCCAGGGCACCCTTGGGAAGGAAGACAGTAAACAACGGGCCCTGCCTGGAAACCCATTCCCCCAAGCATCCTGAGCACATAGATATGGGGGCAGCCATTCAAGACACTGGTGCTGAGGTGGCATTCGTTTCCTCTCCTACAATCTGCCCCCTTCCAATGGGCACAGACTATTCCCTGAGAATATGGGGGCAAAGCTCATCAGCCACCCCACCTCCTCCTCCTCCACCAGTTGCAGTAATCACTATAAAAGAAAAGACTTCTCACAGCAGCCCATCTCCCCAACACATGCACAAAACCCAATAGAGGGGGCAAGTGAGGAGGAGAGCTCGCGGAGGGCTATCTATGCCCCAAGTCGAACAGGAGCTGTGTGCTTGTCATAAAGCCCCTGCTGTGACCCCATCCTCATTCCTCCATTCCTCTGGCCCTTTTCAGATCAGCAGATTCTCAGCAAAAGGATTTAAGGAAGATGATGGAAATTCAAGGGGATTGTGGGATGGGTTTTTCTCATACCCAGTTGACTACAAACAGAGAGCAGAGTCTCCCTGCCCCTTCCCCACCTCTCCTCTCCTTAACTTGAACTGATAAAATTTGGGAGGCAGACGGATCTTTGGAGATCATTAAGTCACTTTCCTGGAAAACACAGAAAGGTCTCCAGCCTCAAATCCCTAGGGCTGGGGCCAATCTGAAGTCCTGAACTCGCCTGCCCCCCCCCCCCTCTCCCCCCCCCCAACTCAACACAAGGCTGCCAGGACCTTCCTCAACTCAACAATTAATGTCCCCTGGGCTGGCAGCAGTCAAAGATTTTGCCAGCACTTCGGATCACATGATTAGGGCACAGCGACCTCTCCTCTTGTGCCTCCCCCCCCCTCAGACATGGTAGTGCCCGGGCCTTCTGCACCCCCACCTGCCGGCCATGCAGGGGGAATCACGGGGGGCGGGTCGGCGCTGGCGCACTTCTCTCCCTCCCACCCCTGCCCAGGCTGGGGGAGGGGGGGAGGGACGGAACAGGGAGGGGGAGTCCAGGGGTAGGCGGAAGTCTGGTCTGGAGGAGGGCTGGGGGCTCTGCAGAGCGGGCGGCGCGAGGCCGGGCGGCCGAGCTGGGCGGGGAGTGTTTCCGGAACCCAGTCGGTGCGTGGCCCAGGGTCCAGATGTCCAGCGGGGAGGGGAGGGATGGTGGGGGAGGCTGGGCCGGGATGCGGCAGCCTCTCCAGCTCTGTCTCCGGCCTCTCGGGTTTGGGATGGTTCTAGGCCCGGGCAGGGAGAAGGCGGGGGCCGACTCCCCGAGTCACTGGCGCTGCGCGGGTCCGGGCCGAACGGCGAGCCGAATAACAGGCCCGGCCGCGGTGCCGCCGCGGGGAGGGGCCTCTGCGGCCCAGCTCCGCCCTCTCCCTCCCGTTCCCCGCTCCAGCCCCAGCCTGTGCCGCGCTCCAGCCCCAATCCCCCTCCCCCAGGCACCACCACGTTCCCACTCCACGTCCCCACAGCCTCCGCCTCTCCACTCCATCCTTGGCTCCCCCGCCTCGGGTTCCCCTCCCTCCTGCCTCTCGGGCTCCCGACTGCGGTGCGCTGGGTGGGGGTTAAGCCGGGCGGCGGGGTCTGCCCAGGTCGCCCCTCAGCCTCTGCGGTGGAGAAGGGAGCGGACGGATGGGCCTGGATCTGTGCGAAGACGTCCTGGGTGTTGGGACTGTCCCAAGCCGCGCAGGGGTAGACAAGCCCCCTCCCCAACTTCGGGGATGAGTGAATGGGGAGCTCTGTGGGGAACACCGCCCAGGTGCCGCCCTCTCGCCAGACCCTTCTTTCCTCCAGGCCCCAGGACTCCAGCTGAGGCTAATCACCAATTAAGGCGAAGTCCTGGAGCCTGGGCTGGCGACGAGCCAGGGGTGGGGCGTGGGGACACTCCGCCTGCGGGGGCTCGGGACCAGCTGATGTGGGGGACACAGCGGACTAGAGGGCGAGAAGCCTGGAGGTCTTGGCAATTAAATGGGTCTCATGCAGATTAGATGCGAACCTTTATGCTAATAAGCGCAGCATTATTTGAATTCGCCACTGTGCGCAGGACCGCAAACTGTGCCCACCCACCCCCAGCTTCTTACCGGGCAGCGGAGCCCAGGCGGGAACCTCACGTTCGCGCTCCCCTTTCTGATGCCCCTCGGTACAGTCAGGCTGTGGCTCGGTCCCTCCTGGCCCTAGGGGGCTTCTCTTCGGGGGCTGTGTGGTAGTAAGGTAGTAAGATTGGTAGTAAGGAAACCGCCCTCCACGCCCAGACTTGACCTCCCGCTTTCCCTTCTTCCTCCTGTCAAATCCACATTGTTGTAAAACGGTCGCCGAGGCTGGGTTGGAGGGAGCGGTTCACCCAGACCAGGGCTATGGCCCTCTTTTGGAACTCTTAGATTCCTGCAGAATTCTGCCCTGCAGAATTCCTGTTTGCAGGTAAATTCATTTGTGGGGTGCAGACCTCCTGAAACCGCCTAAACATACCCGACCCCACCGTGGTCCCACTTTCTTACCCCCGCCTGCCCGGGTAGGGCGCATGCGCGCAGCATGCCCCCCATGACCCCCAGTATCCGGTCAGTGCGGCCAGGGGCGGGGCGGTCCGGGGGCTTCATGCTGGACCCCTACCCTGCTCCAAGTTTCAGGGCTGAGGGGGCACGGAAGCTGGGGGGCTCAAGGCCTGCGTGCGTCCGGGGAGTTGCTGCTGCCGAATCCGCCCCCTGCCCGGCTCCGCCCCTACTCCCATCCCAGCCAAACTTCTCAAAGGGGTAGGGTTGTTCCTTTCTCTACAACCAAAGTTCAACAACAAACAAACCCCTCTAAATCCCGATTCGGACATGGAAGTGGCAGAAGCCCACTAAATACCTTCTCCCCAAGCGCTCTGGAGACAGAGAGACTGGGGAGATACACAGGGATTTCCCCCGACCACCACCGCCTTCCCCTTCTCAGCAGGTTCCGCTCCCCACCCCACCCCCACCCTGGTCCACAGAACTGAACGGGTGTGGCATGGAGAGTTGCATATTTTACTTTATTTTTATTAAATTAAAAGCTACAGTCTGGCGGCGATTCCAGAACAGGGTAAAGAGGCTCCTTATAGGGGGCAGAGAAGAGCGGGAGACAGACTGACAGAGACGGAGACACAGGAGAGAAAAGACAAGGTTAAGGTAGAAGGGGGATTATTTCTGAAGAACACACAAGGCCGGCTCCTTGGGGGCTCACACCAGCCCCATTCCCCCTCCCCCACACCTAAGTTCAGCAGTGGAGAAGTTTGTGGGGGCAGGGGGCTCAAGAGACCCTCCCTCCCCACCCAGGTCCTTTCTCAGCTTAGTCACTGGAGCACAGCACATACCAGAAAAAGCCAAGGGCAATGGAGGGGGTAGGGAGATCGGGAGTATGTACACAGGGAGGAGGGGAGCAGAGCCTTCTGCCAGAAGGGAGTGGCTCTCGCACTGCACTGAAGCACTTGGCCTGTGGGGGACAGGGGAAGGGATTGCCCCCTCCCTCTCTGAACTCCTTCCCCAGTCAGACTGGTCCCCTATTTGTGTGGCGTGGGGGGCAGAGGGAGAGAGGAGAACAGAGGCTTCCGCTGGGTCCTATGGAGAAAGGCAAGGGCCTGGCAAAGGGGACATCCTTCAGTCATCTGTGATACCCTTGGCTCTCAGCTCTTCTTGCACCCGGGTCAGGTACGTGGGGTCCGGGTACCCAAACCTGGGAGCAAAGAGAAATGAAGGTCAGGATTAGCTGTTTTAGCTTACTCGTATTAGCCTCATGCTCACCTTCATTCTGGGTGCCCCATTCCAGCCCCTTCCCGTCTCCCCTAAGGATATGCAAATCTGAGATAACTTAGCCCACTTCTGCTTATTTTCATAGGTGAAGCTGGGCATATTGGACCAGGTTTAATGTAGAGAAACTGGGACGGAAAAGATGGTTGAATAGTTTGGGGGTGGTCCTCTCCAGTTGGGAGGTTCCCAGAGAGAGGGGGCCCGATGTGGTTCCCTCACTGGAAATGGAGAGAAGGGGAGGAGCCAAGGAAAAGAAAACGAAGGAGGGTCGCACAGCTGGGGTCCCCCTGTGCAGCTGGTCTTGTGGTGGATGTCGTTCCAGGTGATGACATTCGGTCTCCCTGTGGTCATGGACGTGCCAATAGTGAAGGTGAGACGCTGGTCAAATGCCTTGCGGAACAGGGTCAGCACCTTGTTGCCCTCAGGGCAGTCCGGGAGGTAGGCCACCCGTGTGGTGCCAGGATACCGAACTCCTGGGTTCGGGTGTTCAGCCTGGGAGGAAGGGGAAGCAAAGTGGACAATGAGCAGCTGGGCATCTGAAGGCCCATGATGCCAACAGAGGGTCATCCTGGCCAGCTGTCTGTCTGGGGCCACCCCCAGCTAATGCTGGCAAGGCAGCCACAGGCTGACAGCCTTTCAAGGAAGGAGAGACTTCCTTGACAGGTTTGGGCAGCAGAAGCCTGTCTTTGGACAAAACCCTTACTGTTAAAGAGGTTCTTTCTGCGGCCTCAATCCCTCAAGTCTCAATTCGGCAATGAACGGATTCCCAAAAGTGACGGAAAGTAGCTGGTCCTTACTCACCAGACAGCTCAGCAGAAACGTGAAGACTGACAATAATCTATCTTGCAGCCTTCCCTTCTCCCACCTGAGAACACTCCCAGTGCTTCTTTGCCTGCCTAACCTGTTCCATTTTCCCATTACTCCTCTTCAGAGCTTCCTCATCCCTCTGCCAACCAGGACCGGCAATCACTCTTGGTCAAGCAGGAAAACACCCATAGGCTCTTGACCACTCCTGTTTTAACTTTCCACTGTCATCAAGATTTTCCTCCCTTGTCAATCTGGAACAAAGTAACGCTCTTGCTCTGTGAGGAGGGTCAGATCCCTTCGGGCTGTGCCTGCCTACACGTGAGCCACCATCTCCACGGAATTCACCTCTGCCAGGAATAGCTGATGACGTCCAAGGTCATCAAGGAAACGGTATTCAATTCCTTTCTCCCATACCTGATTTTCATGTGTGCCATGGAGTCGTGGAATGGAAAAGCTGGGCCTCAAGGGGCACCTCCCAGCTCCAGGGCACTGAGTGGGAAGGCATGCTGGGAGACGGCAAGACTACATCACATCTAACGAACACACTCCCCCTCACCCAGTTTTCCTAGGCCAGAGAACATGCTTGGGGCACACCAAAGGAGCTCGGGCTAAACCAAAGGGCAAAGGCAGGCCATAGGTCTTCTTACCCCCTGGACACCGGGCGGGAAGACGTACTGGATGACGATGGTGCCGTACTTCTCATAGCTTGGCAGCAGGAGTGTGGCGTCCTTAGAGACCAGCATCCGCCCATTCTGGGGCTGGTTGCCCACCAGCTGCCCATAGAAGCGGCCACACATGGGACAGGCCTTTTTCACCTGCAGGGCTCGGGTGATGCAGCCCTCACAGAATGAGTGCCGGCACTTCTCCAATGTCTTGGCATTCTGAATCTCCCCCAGACAGATGGGGCAGGTGCTCTCCTGCTCTTCTGTCTCCTCCCGAAGGCGGGGAGGAAGAGGAGGGGGTAGGGGAGGAGGAGGCGGGGGAAGCCCCCGAGCCCCTGGGGGCAGGAGCGGGGCTGCTCGCAGAGGGGGAGGGGGAGGCCCTGGGCGGTGCAGCTCAGGGTGTTCCCCACCACCCCCCAAAGCTAGGCAGCCCATAAGCTCTCCCTGCCTCTGAGCTTTCTTCAGCTCTTTCTCGGCCTCTTTCAGCAGCCCCTTGAGAGCCTTCCGGGCCAGGTAGAGCCCATTAGGAGGAGCAGGGGGAGGGCCCTGCGGGGAAAGCTGGAGGACATAGATGTCAGAAGTCTCGCCGTCTATGAGGATGGACACACGGTGCTCCTCCCGAAGCCGGGCCAGCCGGGCTGGGGTCTCCTTGCTCAGGAAGTCCCACACAGGCTTAGAGACAGTCACCTTGTTCTTGCAGGTGCCTCCACAGGCTGCCATTCTGGACAGGACGAACGACACTGCCCCCAGGGTGAAAGGGACTCAGGGTGGGGGGTCCCTATTTGACAAAGTCAGTGCCTCCTACTTCAGGTTCCTTTCCAACCCTATATTACCTCTACTGTCTCAAAGGCCAACCCCAACTCCTCCCCCAAGTTCATTTTCTGTCTCCTCCTATCTTTCAAACCCCCAGCACCCACTGAAGAGCAAAACAAGTTTTAATAACTTTATTATTATCATCATCTGAGCCAAGCATCAGTCTTGGTTCTCTTTACACTCCTCCCAAGATCACAGAAATCATCTAGCCCTCCTCCCTCTGGGTGAAAACTGGGCTCTTTAAAGGGGAGGGAGACTTTTTGACCCTCCTTTTTGCTCACTTTGATCCTGAAGAGCTTAGAATTGGCATGCAGGCTCTCTCTCTCTGTCCCTGCTCCCTACTTGTAGGTTGTGTGACCTGGTAGGTGGAAAGGAAAAGGAGGGAAAGTGAGAAGCCCCCTACCCCTTTCCCACATGCCCCAACCCAGCAGCCCATGTAACAGAAGACTGGGAACCTGGGTATAAGTTACTGGGATTACTTGGCACATGGAATGGAGGAAACCAATTTACAGGTGAAAGCTGAAGTTCCCAAGGGAGGCACATACCTGGAAAGCCCATGGACGATGAAAGCAGCAGAAATTCCTCTTTTTCCACACTCAGCTGACCAGGTCTAGGGGGAAGGGGGACAGTAAAGGGATACGATGACCAATGTCACTCCACCAGCAGCCCAGAAACAAATCAGAAACTCCTCTTCCATTTCTTCTCCTTCTTTCCTGCAGAATCCCATCCCCAGCCTCTCCCCAAGTTGCTAAAGATGGAACTTCAACAATGCTAACTTTCCTCTTTTCTCCTCCAGCTCTGAGGCTCTGGAGAAAGCCTAGGGCACAGATAAGAGAAGTCAGGAAGGGTGAAAGCCCACACAGATGGAGGACTTTCCTGCCACCTCCCTCAGATCACATGGATAAGAAGATTTCCTAGGCTCCCAACTCCTTACCGTGCCCCATATTCCCAAGTAATTCAGCCCCTATCGCTAGGGAGACTTCTTTGAGGAGAAGTCCGTTTGGAATGCAAACAAAGTGGCAAGAACCCCTGCAATAACAAAGTTCTTACTGTCACCTTTTAAACCCAGCACTAGAGCATAAGCCTGTCAGCAACCCAGTCTGCATTTAGGGAGGGGTGGGGAACAGCAGGGGCTCAGCTGGAGAAGCCTGCTGTTTCCCCTGAGTCTTAACCATGTTCAGCTACAGAGGTGTACCTACAACACCTCCACATGTAGCTCAAATAGAAAGAGGGGCCATTAGTGTGACCTCAATTCCTAGACTGATCCAAAGGGGAGCGGCTCTGTTTGTGCCTCCATCATAGTCCCCTCAAAGCCATTTGCACCTCCAGGTTCAGAAAGTGAAATTGAAATCCTAGAACCTCAGCTCCTTCGGTCTGTCCAAGGTGGAACAGCCCCCTCACCATCAGAGGGAACCCAGGACCTAGATGTCCTTAGCTCCAAGTCCTGCTGGCACAGAAAAGGGAGGCGGGGCCACAGCTTATGCTGGGTCTCCGATTCCTCTGGGGCAACCCAGGCCGGACACAGGGCCAGTCCCTCCCTCCAGACAGAGGCCAGACAGGGGCAGCCGGGAGGGGCGAGGGTCCCTGGGGGCATCAACTGAGGCAGCCCCACCCCTCCCCCCATGACCTCCTGCAAGACCCAGAACCAGCCCCCACGTCCCCCTCTCGCCGGAGCCCCCAGAGCCCCAGCAATGGGTGGGGGTGCATGTCGGCCCGATCGCAGTCCCCAGACCCCCCAAATGGAGGCCAAGGCTGGAGGGTGATAGGAAGAGGATCGGCCAGGCGTGGAGGGGGCCCCTGGAGCCGCGCGCGGGTGAGGAGGCAGAGGAGGGGGCTCGGGGGGGCAGGGAAGGCGCGCGGGGGGTGCGAGCGG